TTTAACTCATTAATGAATCCAATTAATTATCAATTAATTGGATTCATTAATCAAGAAATTGAATAGTAATGGTATGTTATAGAAATTTAAATACATAAATTTGTCAATATTTCTGTAGCACCTACAGACTCCACTCTCCAGTCTTGGGTTTGAAGGTGTGCTATACAACTTTTTGTGTGAATAAGTTATACGGTTAATGGTAAACAATAATTTTGAAAAACCTTATTTTCCTAAAATCAAGTTGCACTAAGAAAAGGTTATTCATTAGGCACACAAGACTATGGTTTGTTAAAACTCACTGACTCACCTGAAGATTAACAGAAAACACAAAGATGTGGGTAACATTTAATAACACCTAAACTATTACTAAAGCAGCTTATTTCTTCCCCTAGCACTATGGGCACCTATAAAGTCAGAATTATATGCAACCCTGACGACATCAGAAAACTGACACTCCACGAAAGACCAAAGTCATTAGACGACCTAAAACAGAAAGTCAAAGAAAAGTGTATATTTGTGGAGGATTTCAAAATTATGTTCGAAGACCCAGAGTTCAATAATGAGCTGTGCAACCTCGAGGATGTCAAGGACTTGCCACCGGAGAAGGCCACCATAAAAGTTATACCCTTACTGACGCTGAACCTACTCGAAGTTCCTTCCACAAGTGAAATGTCCGACGATACTGACATTATTTCCAACATAAGTTCCTGTTCGTCACGATCAGAACAGTGGCCTGATTTTTTTCACATTCCAACATTTCCTGCCCATGTGGAGTTCAGGCTCCATAAAGCAAACTTGCTCTACATGAAGGACAAAACGCCACTGGATGTTCCGTCAGATATGAAGATAGCCATTTTGTCAAAACTTTCGGAGGAAATATTCAAATATGACGCTTATCCCTCCGTCGAACGGCTCCAATCTGTAGCCTTGGCATTAATCAGCAAGCATCCCTCCCTGAGAGAGCCTGGGTCACAAGATGGCTGCAGCAGCTGGAGAGATAGCCTGGTGTTCAAAGTGTCAAATTACAGGCAAAAACTAAGAAAATCAGGATGTTTTGAGGTTGAGGTTAATGCAAAGACAACCTTGCAAGGAATGACCCCAAAAGGAATAAAAAGGCCAAAAAGATGTGAAGTGAACTACTTGCCAAATATTCCTGATGGTCAAACAGAAGAAATTCTGGAAGAGGAAAGAAAAGAACTTTTTGAGGAAATGAAGAAAAGAAACCCAAACGAGACAGTAATTAAAACTAAAATGGAGCAAACATTTTCCCTACGGCGCAGAGAGATTGTAAATTCTGCCCCACCAGTGAAAAAGGTCAGAGAGCGCTGGCCTGCCCTTTTTACAGAAAGACAGGTTAGTACAAATTATGTTATTTTCACAACTATGCATTTAACTTTGCCTTGAAGTACTTCATGGTGTGTTTTGCAGGTCCTGGCAGAATTTACCCGGATCACCACCTCCAACCTAGACAAGGACTTCTTTGAAGCATTGGATTGTCAAACTTCTCAGTTCTTAAAACTGTTTAAGGCCAAAAGGGGGGCTACTGGCGCCAAGCTCTCAAAGATTGTCCGGCACCTCGATTCCTGTGTAAGTTCATAAAGCAATGATGATAATAAGAAATGACATAAGATTGTTTTTGGTGTCATGATTGCACATATGTACAGCATAGGAAATGGGGGTGATAAAAGGAGAAAAGTAAATGACAGCAATAAGGTGGAGGGGTGAGGGTCAATGTAGAACACCCCCCTCTCCATTTGTCTTGTCTGTCAGTGTAGTGGGTTACTCTTTCAGACAATTATGAGGTTGTCTGTACTGTAATGCTTTACTACCGATAATGGGAGCGTTTGGCTGGCCAGACAGAATCCACACGAACCCACCTGCACAAAGCAGTTGGGCAGTCTAATAGTCAGACACTCTTTTTTTCACCAAAATTGTAATTTTTTGTTCTAGGCGAATGACATTACAAAAGTGAGGACACTGGTTCTTCAAGGGCTTTCAGTTCTTCTTGGCGAGGATTCTACAAACTTCTACCTCCCTTGTCTGGTAATTTCTTTTGTTTTACTTCAATTCACTTTTTTTTCTTTGTTGCTATTTTGTTGTGTTTACCACAGCACACATCTCACATACCTTTATGCACTCGTTCAGTCCTAAACACACTCTCAACCCTGCATACATCACCCACTTCCAACCAACCTATCCATACACCCACACTTTCAACCCACACCCACCTTCCCATGGAAAGTGTGTGGGACACTTTCCACCTTCCCATACCCACACACTTTCCACCCACCCACACCCACCTTCCAATACCCGCACACTTTCTACCCACCCACACCCACCTTCCAATACCCACACACTTTCCACCCACCCACACCCACCTTCCAATACCCGCACACTTTCCACCCACCCACACCCGCCTTCCCATACCCACATAGTTTTTTTGATTCTATTTTGGTGTGTTTTCCAGACTTTCTTTTATCACTTTGTTGGGTAATTCTTGGGAAAAGCCTGGGTACAATTGCATCATATTTGAAACCTAAAACTGTTCTCCATAGCATTTTAGAGCCCACAATCAAACATATCAGTTATGATCTTTCTTTCAACAGTTTCTTATGCTGCCACAGGAGGCGCGGGACTCGGTGCGGGACTTTTTGATGCCCCCTGAGCATTAGCCTGTACATCAATGTTGGTTTAGTTATTACATAGACGCTTTCAAATTTATAAAACATTTAATATCAATGCAGGTCCATCCAAGGTGCATCCTTATACCAGGAGTCAGTATGACCAAACAGAACTAAACCAGGAATATGTTATTCCATTCAGATGATGGAATGATGATTGTCACCTTTTCATATGACCATGCATTTTAATTGTGATTCAATTATTACAAAATAATTGTAATTATTTTACCTATAATCAAGCAGTCCTATTTGCTGTATCCATGTATGTCTTCTTGTTTGCACAGATGGAACAAAACAATGACTGGAGTCAGGTGTCTGTTGGAATTCTGATCCACATCACAGACGCAAACTCCATAGATGATCTTCACCTGAATCCGATCTCATCCATCGTACTGGAAGGAGAGGTGGTTATGGACGGTCTGAAAAACCTACCGCAAGCAGTGGTTATGGCTTTTGGACTAATGTATGCATTGCATCTTGATTATCCAAAAGCAATGAAGAACACCCTTGAATTCATTCAAAAAATAATGCTGGGACTCGGGACAAAATTACCCCCCAAACTTCAAAGCCTCAAAAATCAGCTGGCTTATTAGGCTTTGGTTCACTACATTGTTCATTGTTGTTGAAGTTTCAGATTCTGTGAGACATAACTGTACTGTGCTTATTTTTTGATGTTTTATTGCTTGCAAGGCAACTATAGCTTCAACATTGCAAAGCCAGCTTTCCCTCTATTCATTCGCAAATATTTATTTTTTTTATAAAAGAGCTAGATGTTATTTTAATACATTTTTGCAGATTTTGTCACTTATAAATGGCTCATGAAAACGATACATTAACTCCTGAACCCACCTGAACCGAGCCCAAAAACCTGACAAAAACACATCCAAAAACTGACAAAAAATGTGATGGAAATTTGAATAAAATAATGACTAAAAAATGTATACAAAGTGGAGAAAATTCTCGGTTGATGCAGGGGGTGAGAGGTTTAAAGCCCTTGTGTAATATATCTTATGTATGTTATTTAGTATGTAACATACTAAATAAAAAAAAATATACATATCATACATTTCATCCAGGATCTACCCATTTCGATTTTATTGTTGCATGTAAGGTATTTCGGCTGTGTTTTTTTTCAAGATTTTAAAATATATTATATATATATTTTCAACTTTACATTGTGTAAAACTGTTTTTTTCTCAATTATAACAATCTATGGTAGAAGTTTCAAATCTCAATTTACGGTAATAGGGTGAAAAGGGAACACCAACGCTTTTTGCTGATCACAATGTCATTATTTTTTCTCCCATTGTTTAAAGTGGCATTTGTTGAAGTTTGAATGCATGTTAAAGTTTAATGCATTGCTGAGAACAAATCATTGTAATAAATACTGTTGTTAAAATTATTTAGCTCCTTTTTGCAATTAATGTAATGCATTTATTAATACATAGAATGTAACTTTAAATTTAAAATTACGTATACTGAGAATTTGATGTCATTGTTATTTGATATCTGAGTAAAGTTAATGCATCGGGTTTACAATTTTTTCTATGTTAGCATTACTTGGTGTGCGTGTACGGCATATTAGATAAGTCTAGTAAGTTCAACTACACCTTCACATATTGATTACTAGATAAACCCTGTTGATATAACTTGATGTGAAAGTACTGCATACTAGATAAACCTAGTAAGTGCAACTGCTGCTACAGGTACTGACTACTAGATAAACCCTGTTGATATCACTTGATAAGAGAGTATTGCATACTTGATAAGTCTAATTAGAATTGCTTAAACTGAAAGCACTGTTAACTAAAGAAATCCTGTTGATTTTATGCATCGGGTTTACAGCTTTTTCCAAGTAAGCGCAATGGATTAGAATTTACAGTGTAGGAGGAGCCTGAAGTGCTTGGTTGGAATGAAAACCTGCAGCCACAGGGCTCTTTCTGAAACATGTTTGACCTCCTGCTCTAGAGGAATAAGGACTAAACTAAAAACATCAAATCAAACTGACAACTTTAAATGTTTTTTGGTAAATCTCACTTGTTTTTATCATTTATTTGCCTGTCAGTTTCTTCTTTGAACAGCAGAGGCTCCAGATAAACAGGTGGCAGACCCTCCTCAGAAGAGGGACAAAAACACAATTCGTTTCCAAATCGATTCCAAATACTATTAACAAACTTGTCAAAATGTGTCTCTGTGAGTATACACTTTACACTTACACAGAGTTAAAGTCTGCATCATGAGCAAGAGCCTCTCTCCAAAATCAATGAGACGTTGGAGTCAGAGCAAAGCCAGAAGGAAACAGAGGAGACAATATTCTGTATGGATCGAGCTGCATTCTGTACCGAGCTGCAGCTTCAGGGCAGCTCTAATTGGATCAACAACTGTCTGATCCCCATCAACCAGCCTGACCTGGGGGGGGGAAGAGGGGTTGAGGGGAAGGGGGGAGGAGAGAGCAGGGGAGGGAGGGAGAGGAGGGAGAGAGGGATCCCCATCAACCAGCCTGACCTGCGAGAGGGAGGGAGGGAGAGGGGGGAGAGAGGGATCCCCATCAACCAGCCTGACCTGCGAGAGGGAGGGAGGGAGAGGAGGGAGAGAGGGATCCCCATCAACCAGCCTGACCTGCGAGAGGGAGGGAGGGAGAGGGGGGAGAGAGGGATCCCCATCAACCAGCCTGACCTGCGAGAGGGAGGGAGGGAGAGGAGGGAGAGAGGGATCCCCATCAACCAGCCTGACCTGCGAGAGGGAGGGAGGGAGAGGGGGGAGAGAGGGAGAGGAGGGAGGGAAAGCAGGGGAGGGGGGGAGGAGAGGGGAGGGAGGGGGGGAGAGGGATCCCCATCAACCAGCCTGACCTATGAGAGGGAGGGAGGCAGGGGGGGAGGGAGGGAGAGCCAGAGAGGGGGTGAGCGAGAGAGGGAGGGGGTGAGAAAGAGATAGGGGTGAGAAAGAGAGAGGGGGAAGAGGGAGAGGGGAGGGAGGGGGAGAGAGAGATGGAGAAGGACAGAGACAGTGAGAGACAGACATAAAGAGACAAAAAGAGAGGGACGGAGACAGAGAGAGAGATAGAGAGATGAGAGAGATGAGAGAGATGAGAGAGATGAGAGAGATGAGAGAGATGAGAGAGATGGAGAGATAGAGATAGAGAGAGATAAATCGATAGAGAGAGAGAGCAAAGGAGAGATGGGTAAATTAGAGTCCATTTCCTGGCCTCTGATGAATGTTTTAGGTCCATTTGGCCAAAACCCTCTCATTTCTCATCAGGTCAGTTTCCATGTGTGTGAAATGAACCTGTGCATTGTAAATATAGCAGCATGGATCCAAAGTCAAACTGGATAAAGTCAAACTGGATAATACATTAGAGAATCAAACACATGATACAATAATCACAAAGACATAGAAGCCATTGGTCCATATGAGCGGGATGATCCATGTCCATAAATATCCTGAAATGTCCCATCTCTGTCTTTAGACCCTCGGCAAAATAAAGTATTGCTAACACGCATAAGAGAAAAACTATAAGATAAAAGAACCAAAATAGTTTCCTGTGTGTTTTGGTTGTTGTAAATCCTGAGCCATAACGATTGGACAGATTCATTCACGGTAAACTCCAACCGTCTCAAAATCCACTACTTCTAACTTCCCACTGTGCTCCGGCTCGTCTCTCAGAATATAATGTTTCTCGTTTGGTTAAATTATGACCCAGTGCTAACCCCAGCTCAGTCTGAGCAGACGTGAGGTCTTTCTACAGCTACAGTAGCTTCTGTTTGTATCAGGGGAGAGAGAGGGAGAGAGAGGGAGAGATGTTCTGCTCACAGGAGAGAGAGGGGGAGAGAGGGAGAGAGAGGGGGAGAGAGGGAGGGAGAGGGGGGGGGGAGAGAGGGGGAGAGGGGGAGAGAGAGGGAGAGAGAGGGGAGAGATGTTCTGCTGACAGGAAAGAGAGAGGGGGAGAGAGAGGGGGAGAGAGGGGGAGAGAGGGAGAGAGAGGGGGGGAGAGGGAGGGAGAGAGGGGGGGAGAGAGAGGGGGAGAGGGGGAGAGAGAGAGGAGAGAGAGGGAGAGATGTTCTGCTGACAGGAAAGAGAGAGGGGGAGAGAGAGGGGGAGAGAGGGAGAGAGAGGGGGGAGAGGGAGGGAGAGAGGGGGGGAGAGAGAGGGGGAGAGGGGGAGAGAGAGGGAGAGAGAGGGAGAGATGTTCTGCTGACAGGAGAGAGAGAGGGGGAGAGAGAGGGAGAGAGAGGGAGGGAGAGAGGGGGGGAAAGAGAGAGAGAGGGGGAGAGAGGGAGAGATGTTCTGCTCACAGGAGAGAGGGGGGGGAGAGGGGGAGAGAGAGGGAGAGAGAAAGAGAGGGGGAGACAGAAAGGGGGAGAGAGAGGGAGAGATGTTCTGCTGACAAGAGAGAGAGAGGAGGAGGAGAGAGGGAGAGATGGGGAGAGAGGGGGAGAGATGTTCTGCTGACAGGAGAGAGAGAGGGGGAGAGAGAAAGGGAGAGGGGGAGAGAGAGGGACAGAGATGTTCTGCTGACAGGAGAGAGAGAAGGGGAGAGAGAAAGAAAGGGGGAGAGAGAGCGAGAGATGTTCTGCTGACAGGAGAGAGAGAGTGGGAGAGAGAAAGGGGGAGAGAGGGAGAGATGTTCTGCTGACAGGAGAGAGAGAAGGGGAGAGAGAAAGAGAGGGGGAGAGAGAAAGAGAGGGGGAGAGAGAGGGAGAGATGTTCTGCTCACAGAAGAGAGAGGGGGAGAGAGAAAGGGGGAGAGATGTTCTGCTGACAGACGCTACAGCAGCTCAATGACATGAGGCCCAGAGACGAGTGACCGCTCAGAGGAGAGATGACAGATACAGGACAGAGAGGGAGCAGGGGGGAGAGGGGGGGGGGAGCTACAGCCGCATCCACAGCCGCAGCCGCTCCAGTGCACATGAAGCAGCCCCCCTCCAGTCGGCTGTGGAGCTGAAAGCGTCCGTGCCGGTCTGTCTGTGTAAATGTTATTGTAATATAGAAGCCTCATTAGGGCTGGCCCAGCAGGATACGCAGAGGGTGCTCCTGTGCTGCTGACTCACGGCGACGGTGGTGACGGTGATGAGAGGCAGAACTGGCAGAGAAGGAGCTGATTGGGCTAAAAAGTGCTCTCCTTGAAGCGCTAACTGGGACCTTGAAGAGTGTCCCGCAGGAGTTGGCAGCAACGGGACGTCCCCACCTGTGGCAGAACACGCTCCGAGAACACGCTCAGAGAACACGCTCAGAGAACACGCTCAGACAACACGCTCAGACAACACGCTCAGACAACACGCTCAGACAACACGCTCCGAGAACACGCTCCGAGAACACGCTCCGAGAACACGCTCCGAGAACACGCTCCGAGAACACGCTCAGACAACACGCTCAGACAACACGCTCAGACAACACGCTCAGACAACACGCTCAGACAACACGCTCAGACAACACGCTCAGACAACACGCTCAGACAACACGCTCAGACAACACGCTCAGACAACACGCTCAGACAACACGCTCAGAGAACACGCTCAGACAACACGCTCAGACAAACGCTCAGAAACACGCTCAGACAACACGCTCAGACAACACGCTCAGACAACACGCTCGACAACACGCTCAGACAACACGCTCAGACAACACGCTCAGACAACACGCTCAGACAACACGCTCAGACAACACGCTAGAACACGCTCAGACAACACGCTCAGACAACACGCTCAGACAACACGCTCAGACAACACGCTCAGACAACACGCTCAGACAACACGCTCAGACAACACGCTCAGACAACACGCTCAGACAACACGCTCAGACAACACGCTCAGACAACACGCTCAGACAACACGCTCAGACAACACGCTCAGACAACACGCTCAGACAACACGCTCAGAGAACACGCTCAGACAACACGCTCAGAGAACACGCTCAGAGAACACGCTCAGACAACACGCTCTGAGAACACGCTCTGAGAACACGCTCTCAGAACACGCTCAGAGAACACGCTCAGAGAACACGCTCAGACAACACGCTCAGACAACACGCTCAGACAACACGCTCAGACAACACGCTCAGACAACACGCTCAGACAACACGCTCAGACAACACGCTCAGACAACACGCTCAGACAACACGCTCAGACAACACGCTCAGACAACACGCTCAGACAACACGCTCAGACAACACGCTCAGACAACACGCTCTGAGAACACGCTCTGAGAACACGCTCAGACAACACGCTCAGAGAACACGCTCAGACAACACGCTCAGACAACACGCTCAGACAACACGCTCAGAGAACACGCTCAGAGAACACGCTCAGAGAACACGCTCAGACAACACGCTCAGACAACACGCTCAGACAACACGCTCAGACAACACGCTCAGACAACACGCTCTGAGAACACGCTCTGAGAACACGCTCAGAGAACACGCTCCGAGAACACGCTCAGAGAACACGTTCCGAGAACACACTCTGAAATTCATTGACTTAAATAAATACGTTTTCATCAGCAGATATCATTATGTTTGCTTAATGTGTGTGTGTGTGAGACTGAGTGTGGGAGTGTGTGTGTGTGTGTGTATTATTGTGTGTGTTACTATGAGTGTGTGTGTGTTACTTTGAGTGTGTGTGGGTGTGTGTTACTATGAGTGTGTGTGTGTGTTACTATGAGTGTGTGTGTGTGTGTGTTACTATGAGTGTGGGTGTGTGTGTTACTATGAGTGTGTGTGTGTTACTATGAGTGTGTGTGTGTGTGTTACTATGAGTGTGTGTGTGTGTGTTACTATGAGTGTGTGTGCGTGTGTTACTATGAGTGTGTGTGTGTGTGTTACTTTGAGTGTGTGTGTTACTATGAGTGTGTGTGTTACTATGTGTGTGTGTGTGTGTGTGTGTGTGTGTGAGGTTGTTGTGACTCCTGAGCCGTTGCTGGGAGCACAGTCGTGACATTTGCAAAGATCGTTACCAATTTCTTTTGACATTACTGCTGTAATTCTTTTCAAAATCTGAATTTGGTTTCTTCTTTGATTCATTTTTGTAGTTTTTAAAGAACCACAATATTCAGATCATTACGGAAAAAAACATAAGAATCCAGAGCCATCAACAATCACACTAACAAAGAATCATTTATAAGTATATTTGTATTTACTGATGAAATGCAGAAACTAAACACACCAACTTTGTCCATCTGTAATCCCCCACTCACCTACACAGACATGGGGAGAACATGCAAACACCACACAGAAAGCACTAATGGCACCTGATGCCCTGACTTTAAATTAAACAAGAGGAAGTTGATGACCTTTTTCTAAATGTATAATTAAAAACTTATGGCAGATGATAATTCAAAGGAAGAAAGACGCCCCAACTACAGCCACATGGACATCTCTGGAGCAACAGACGTCACAGACGTCACAGACGTCACAGACGTCACAGACATCACAGACGTCAATCCAAAAGACAAGACTAAAGGAGATGGACAAACAACAGACCAGATATAAACAGAGACACCGACACAAGAGAGAGACAGAGACACAGACGCAGACACAGACAGAGAGACAGACACGCCACAGGAAGTAGATCCCCCATTACAGTATCTATAGTTTAAGATCCAACACGTCTTCTTCTGCAGAATGTTTCAGCTCCGTCTGAGACATTTCCAAACCGACTCGACAGCAGCAGCTTTGTCCTGAATCACAGATATCGTTTTCCATTTCCAGTCCGTGTCGTACAGTCATTCACTCAAACGACCAGCGGCACACGCAGCGCTCATCCATCAGCCGTGTTTGTTTGTCTGGCTGTGGTCTGGCTGTGGTCCGGGATCGGTCTCGGCCCAGCGACGGTCTCGGCCCAGCGTCGGTCTCGGCCCAGCGTCGGTCTCGGCCCAGCGTCGGTCTCGGCCCAGCGTCGGTCTCGGCCCAGCGTCGGTCTGGCCCAGCGTCGGTCTCGGCCCAGCGTCTCGGCGTCGGTCTCGGCCCAGCGTCGGTCTCGGCCCAGCGTCGGTCTCGGCCCAGCGTCGGTCTCGGCCCAGCGTCGGTCTCGGCCCAGCGCGGTCTCGGCCCAGCGTCGGTCTCGGCCCAGCGTCGGTCTGGGCCCAGCGTCGGTCTCGGCCCAGCGTCGGTCTCGGCCCAGCGTCGGTCTCGGCCCAGCGTCGGTCTCGGCCCAGCGTCGGTCTCGGCCCAGCGTCGGTCTCGGCCCAGCGGAGCATGCACACACCAGGCACAGATAGATAAATAAGTAGACAGGCTGACGAGCGGCCTCAGACGTGGAGTGAGAGATGGATTAGCATGTCACACACTCCCAAGCATTACTCTTGTAAAGTGCGCTAAAGCTAATCGATCGGAGCCCACTCCCCACACGCCCAGCGCTCTCTTCTCTCACGCGCCATTCCCGTAATCCATAATATCATCGGGGACGGTACGGGAACGTCTGGGCTTCGGATCGATAAGGGCGGACACAGACTGACATCGCTGGGCTTTCCTTATTGGACAGATACAGATACTACAACAATAGATCTGCAGCAATATTACCTAGTGTTGTTGTCAGGATGTACATGAAAACAGTACTTATGGCTGGTAGTAGCAGGAAGAAGTGGTATTAGCATCAGAATTATAATATGTAAGTATCAGGAAGTCAGACTAGAATATTGCTTTGGCTTGGCTGTAGAAGTAGTAGTAGGAAGAGGAAGTAGTACAGTAGTAGTAGAAGAAGTAGTAGAAGAAATAGTAGGAAGTATTAGGAAGTAGTCCTCCCCAGACCGACTCAGGGTCCAGACCGACTCAGGGTCCAGACCGACTCAGGGTCCAGACCGACTCAGGGTCCAGAGACAGTGACTGATTGGAGGTAAGGGTTTGGGAGATGGACTGACGCTAGACCCTGTTGGACCAGACTCAGACACGATGGTTTTTACCCAATGTTGTTGTGTTGTTGCCATAGTAACCCTAAACTCACACTTTAAAGACCTTATGACGGGTTTGATTTATTTAGAAATACAGTTTTAATACCATTTTATATTAGAAGAGAACTACTAAAGGTTTCAAAATCAGTTTTTTTTTTTTGTCTGATCCCCCCAAATCGAAATAACCCCATAGCAACGCCCTTAGAAACGAAAAAACTTCACAGCCCTTGGTGACGTCAGAGTGGGTACGTTTCAACGCTGTAAGTTGTTTACAATTTGGTATTCGTTCTTTTTTCTCGGATATTCAAGATGACAAGGCCGTGTACAGCGAGTGTGAGATAACTACTAGTATGTAACATTTCGTTGTCACTGAGATAGTCCAGTGGTTGTGTCGATGGACTGTCATTCCAGATACTTGGGTTCAAATCCCACCTCGGACACTTTTTCTCAAAACGGCAATTTATGTGTAGTGAGCAATTGTCACCTGTAGAGGGCAGTATTGTGTTGGGCATCAGTGGAGAGAAGAGAGAAAAGGCAGTCCTGTGGCATAGATCCATGGTTTTCAATGCATGGGCGTTACCCGCTATGACGTCACACACAGGTTAGAGCATAGACAACTTAAATTCATGAAAAACACGTTCTTTTTATAAAATATAGGATTTTTTTTGCCGGAATCTCTTTCAAATTGACATTGTCATGCAATTTTGATATCCACTATTTTTTTTTTAAAAACCCGTCATAAGGTCTTTAATGCATTTAAATATGTGAAGGCGACAACAAAACACAGAAAGAACCAGTCAGTGACACTGTTTTCAGCTCAGAGGAAACTTACAGGGCTGAGTTCATTCATTTTTCATCAACATATTATTATTTTTGGTTTAATAAAATAATAATATGTTTTATTAAACTCCTTCCTGATGGACTCCAAGCCAAGCTGCCTGCACAGATGTTGGTGCAGTTCTACACGGCCATCATCGAGTCCATCCTCACCTCCTCCATCACCTCCTTCATCACCTCCTCCATCACCTCCTTCATCACCTCCTCCATCACCTCCTCATCACCTCCTCATCACCTCCTCATCACCTCCTCCTTCACCTCCTCCTTCACCTCCTCATCACCTCCTCATCACCTCCTCCTTCACCTCCTCCTTCACCTCCTCCATCACCTCCTCCATCACCTCCTCCAGCACCTCCTCCATCACCTCCTCCATCACCTCCTCCATCACCTCCTCCATCACCTCCTCATCACCTCCTCCTTCACCTCCTCCTTCACCTCCTCCATCACCTCATCACCTCCATCACCTCCTCCATCACCTCCTCATCAACTCCTCCAGCACCTCCTCCATCACCTCCTTCATCACCTGCTCCATCACCTCCTCCATCACCTCCTCCATCACCTCCTCCATCACCTCCTCCATCACCTCCTCCATCACCTCCTCATCACCTCCTCATCACCTCCTCCTTAACCTCCTCCTTCACCTCCTCCTTCACCTCCTCCATCACCTCCTCCATCACCTCCTCCATCACCTCCTCCATCACCTCCTCCATCACCTCCTCATCAACTCCTCCAGCACCTCCTCATCACCTCCTCCATCACCTCCTTCATCACCTGCTCCATCACCTCCTCCATCACCTCCTCATCACCTCCTCCATCACCTCCTCCATCACCTCCTTCATCACCTCCTCCATCACCTCCTCCGTCACCGTGTGGTTCGCTGGAGCCACAGTCAGGGACAAACAGAGACTACAGTGCATTGTGCGCTCTGCAGAGGAAGTGATCGGCCGCAGCCTTCCATCGCTGCAGGACCTGTACGTCGCCCGAGCTCGAGGCCGGGCTGGTCGTATCACAGCCGACCCCTCTCACCTGCACATGGACTATTCCAACCACTCCCCTCTCACCTGCACATGGACTATTCCAACCACTCCCCTCTCACCTGCACATGGACTATTCCAACCACTCCCCTCTCACCTGCACATGGACTATTCCAACCACTCCCCTCTCACCTGCACATGGACTATTCCAACCACTCCCCTCTCACCTGCACATGGACTATTCCAACCACTCCCCTCTCACCTGCACATGGACTATTCCAACCACTCCCCTCTCACCTGCACATGGACTATTCCAACCACTCCCCTCTCACCTGCACATGGACTATTCCAACCACTCCCCTCAGGCAGGAGGCTGCGGTCCATCAGGACTAGAACCTCCCGCCACAAGAACAGTTTCTTCCCCTCTGCTGTTGGACTCTTGAACACTTCTTAACCTGTCCCCCCGCCCTTTATAAAGTCACTTTACTGCCCATCATACGTCACTTTACTTCACTGTACTGCTGTCACCTTACATTGTGTGCACCATGTGCACTTGGATATTGTAAATAGTAACTAACTCTATTTTAAATTTACATTTATTCCTTAGAAGTGTTTTTTATTCTTTATTTTTATTATCTCTTTCTGACTGTTGCACTGAGCCAAAGCAATTTCCAAGTCTGTGACTTCTGTTACTTACGTGGCAATAAAAATTATTCTGATTCTGATTCTGATTCTTGTGTTAGTTTTTTGGGATTTGAGCCTTATGTGATGTGGACTGATTGGGTGCTTGGACACACCATGACCAAGCTAAAAATAATAAGTAAACAAATAAGTAAATAAATCAGTAAAATACAGTCCCTTCTGTGCCGTCAGATACAGAAAGGCCCATTGTCCATTTAATATCCCACATCAGACCCAGACATAAGCTCTAATCCAGCCCAACTCTCAACAACTGATAACATGAATAAAAATGGTTTGATGCTTGAAAAGAAGAAAAAGAGAGATGGCCGGTCCATCTCAGAGCAGTGTGGGAGGTTCTGTCCCGCTCTCTGCCTCCGGGCCTCTCTCCGTCTCAGAGCCGTGTCAAAGGTTCTGTCCCGCTCTCGGTTTCTGGGGGGGTCTCTCTGATGATACACACTTCACAGCAGTAGCACATTTCTGCCTGTAGGGGAAGCCTGGAGCAAAGTCTGTACTTCACACGGTTACACCATCCACGGCCCACGCCATCATGTGACATCAACACAACATGAGATGATCATGTGACATCAACACAAGATGATTCTGTAACGTGTGATTTCAGTAACTCTGACATGTTCCGTCAATAGAAGCAGCGTGAGTTAGTGTGCGGACGTAGCGCTCCTCGTATTATTACGCCTCACAATATAGTACCTCTTTTTATCCTCTGAGAAAATGGACATGTTACATTTCTGTGTAACTATACTTTGTAGAGTAACACGTCACGTAACTGTATTTAAAGGGAACACGTGGAAGAGTTTGGGAGCTTCTAACAGGAGCTGATTTGGAACTATACAGTCTGTGGAAGAGTCTGTGTTTGTGCTGCGTTTGCATGACAGAGCACACGGACACAGACCAGACAGGTACATATCAACTAGTCTAAGGTAAGAACATGTGTCAGTGTGTAAACACGGGGCCTGTTGCTTTAAGTCTCTGAGATGATGTACTCTACTCTACTGTGTATTGTGTAAGTCTAACTACAGAAACTAAATGTCATTATGACAGTTCAGTAAGTTTCAGCTGGAGCTAAGTTGACTGTGTTTCCATTTGCATTACATGGAACCAGCAGCTTTAAAAGCAGTAATGAGGCTTCAGTCTGTTGTACGTCTGCATCTATATTGTCCTTTGTTGTGCGTCTGCATCTATATTGTCCGTTGTTGTGCGTCTACATCTATATTGTCCTTTGTTGTGCGTCTACATCTATATTGTCCTTTGTTGTGCGTCTGCATCTATATTGTCCTTCGCTGGTTGGACTCATAACGCTTTATTCCAGAACAAAAACAATATACTGCATCAGAAAACATCTACTTCACTAAATATCAACATTTTACACAAACAGAAAGAACACCCACCAAAGTGTTTATGGTTAAGTTTTGCTGAGCTGGCCCAGCCCGGCTCGGCCCGGCCCTGCTCTGCTTGACATTCATAGAGTTACAGAAATCCACCCTGTTCCTGAATCTCAAACAGCTCCTTTTGTGAACTCCTGCAGAAAAAATGGATTATCCACAGTTTGCTAAAAGGCACTTGGACCCAACGTGACCGAGTCTGAAGGAAAAGAGGAAAGAGGCAACGGTTTGAAACGTTCAGGAATCCCCCAAACTGTAAATGACGGTGAAGAGAGAGAGAGAGCGAGAGACAGAAAGAGAGAGAGAGAGAGGGAGGGAGAGACAGAAAGAGAGAGAGAGAGAGAGGGAGAGAGAGACAGAAAGAGAGAGAGAGAGAGGGAGGGAGAGACAGAAAGAGAGAGAGAGAGAGAGGGAGAGAGAGACAGAAAGTGAGAGAGAGAGAGAGGGAGAGAGAGAAAGGCCCTGTTTCCGACCGGGATTAGAACCCAGGACCTTCTTGCTTAGGTGAGAGTGCTAACCACTCAGCCACCGTGCCGAGGGGAATCCCTCCGTAAACAGTCAGACATGCAAACACAGGGACAGAGGAAGCAACGAACAATGTCCTTGTGTGGGGACTTCAAAGGACCAGGGACCAGACCAGGCCAGGCCAGACCACCCCACATCTGCATACAACCCCCCCCCCTTTACACGTTACATATACACGCCTATGCACTGTATGTTCACACGGATTGGATTTAAAATACCCTATTCATAAATAAGATCATCAAAAGGCAACATTTGATTAACACTGACCTGTGCTCAAGACAAACCAGGACTAAACCAGGGCTAAACCAGGACTAAACCAGGGCTAAGCCAGGACTAAACCAGGACTAAGCCAGGACTAAACCAGGACTAAGCCAGGACTAAGCTAGGACTAAGCCAGGACTAAGCCAGGACTAAGCCAGGACTAAACCAGCACTAAGCCAGGACTAAGCCAGGACTAAGCCAGGACTAAGCTAGGACTAAGCTAGGACTAAGCTAGGACTAAACCAGGACTAAGCCAGGACTAAGCCAGGACTAAACCAGGGCTAAACCAGGGCTAAACCAGGGCTAAGCCAGGACTAAGCCAGGACTAAGCCAGGACTAAGCCAGGACTAAGCCAGGACTAAGCCAGGACTAAGCCAGGACTAAACCAGGACTAAACCAGGACTAAGCCAGGACTAAGCCAGGACTAAACCAGCACTAAGCCAGGACTAAGCCAGGACTAAACCAGGACTAAGCCAGGACTAAGCCAGGACTAAGCCATGACTAAGCCAGGACTAAGCCAGGACTAAACCAGGACTAAACCAGGACTAAGCCAGGACTAAGCCAGGACTAAGCCAGGACTAAACCAGGACTAAACCAGGACTAAGCCAGGACTAAGCCAAGACTAAACCAGGACTAAGCCAGGACTAAGCCAGGACTAAACCAGGACTAAACCAGGACTAAACCAGGACTTAACAATGAGGTACGTCTTAGTCGCAGTCCACAAATATGAAGCCATATTCAAATCCAAATCAAAACAAAAGCAATCCTCTGGACAGACACAGGGAGAAGAGCCACTCGCTGTAAATCACATTTGGACGGAGAGACAGAGAGACCACGCTGCAGAGAACAGCATGTGTACGTCCGTTAACTTGGTTTCTGCCGCAGAGGCTTCCAGTAACAACAGTATGGACAGGAAAGAAAATGAAATTACAGCACTATAAATGAATTATCAATACCCAGCCCTCGATAGTGTATCTGAGGGAGAATCAATGCCCTGTCCTGGCTGCAGCGGCTGAGGTCTGAGGCTGAGGTCTCGGCTGAGGTCTGAGGCTGAGGTCTGAGGCTGAGGTCTGAGGCTGAGGTCTCGGCTGAGGTCTGGGAGGTCTGAGGCTGAGGTCTGAGGCTGAGGTCTGGGCTGAGGTCTGAGGCTGAGGTCTGAGGCTGAGGTCTGAGGCTGAGGTCTGAGGCTGAGGTCTGAGGCTGAGGTCTGAGGCTGAGGTCTGAGCTGAGGTCTGGGGCTGAGGTCTGAGGCTGAGGTCTGAGGCTGAGGTCTGAGGCTGAGGTCTGAGGCTGAGGTCTGGGCTGAGGTCTGGGCTGAGGTCTGGGCTGAGGTCTGAGGCTGAGGTCTGGGGCTGAGGTCTGCGGCTGAGGTCTGAGGCTGAGGTCTGAGGCTGAGGTCTGAGGCTGAGGTTGAGGAGGCTGAGGTCTGAGGCTGAGGTCTGAGGCTGAGGTCTGAGGCTGAGGTCTGAGGCTGAGGTCTGAGGCTGAGGTCTGAGGCTGAGGTCTGAGGCTGAGGTCTGAGGCTGAGGTCTGAGGCTGAGGTCTGAGGCTGAGGTCTGAGGCTGAGGTCTGAGGCTGAGGTCTGAGGCTGAGGTCTGAGGCTGAGGTCTGAGGCTGAGGTCTGAGGCTGAGGTCTGAGGCTGAGGTCTGAGGCTGAGGTCTGAGGCTGAGGTCTGAGGCTGAGGTCTGAGGCTGAGGTCTGAGGCTGAGGTCTGAGGCTGAGGTCTGAGGCTGAGGTCTGCGGCTGAGGTCTGAGGCTGAGGTCTGAGGCTGAGGTCTGAGGCTGAGGTCTGAGGCTGAGGTCTGCGGCTGAGGTCTGAGGCTGAGGTCTGAGGCTGAGGTCTGAGGCTGAGGTCTGAGGCTGAGGTCTGGGCTGAGGTCTGAGGCTGAGGTCTGGGCTGAGGTCTGAGCTGAGGTCTGGGCTGAGGTCTGAGGCTGAGGTCTGAGGCTGAGGTCTGGGCTGAGGTCTGAGGCTGAGGTCTGAGGCTGAGGTCTGAGGCTGAGGTCTGAGGCTGAGGTCTGAGGCTGAGGTCTGAGGCTGAGGTCTGGGGCTGAGGTCTGAGGCTGAGGTCTGAGGCTGAGGTCTGAGGCTGAGGTCTGAGGCTGAGGTCTGGGCTGAGGTCTGGGCTGAGGTCTGGGCTGAGGTCTGGGCTGAGGTCTGAGGCTGAGGTCTGAGGCTGAGGTCTGAGGCTGAGGTCTGAGGCTGAGGTCTGAGGCTGAGGTCTGAGGCTGAGGTCTGAGGCTGAGGTCTGAGGCTGAGGTCTGAGGCTGAGGTCTGAGGCTGAGGTCTGAGGCTGAGGTCTGAGGCTGAGGTCTGAGGCTGAGGTCTGAGGCTGAGGTCTGAGGCTGAGGTCTGAGGCTGAGGTCTGAGGCTGAGGTCTGAGGCTGAGGTCTGAGGCTGAGGTCTGAGGCTGAGGTCTGAGGCTGAGGTCTGAGGCTGAGGTCTGAGGCTGAGGTCTGAGGCTGAGGTCTGAGGCTGAGGTCTGAGGCTGAGGTCTGAGGCTGAGGTCTGAGGCTGAGGTCTGAGGCTGAGGTCTGAGGCTGAGGTCTGAGCTGAGGTCTGAGGCTGAGGTCTGAGGCTGAGGTCTGAGGCTGAGGTCTGAGGCTGAGGTCTCAGACCTCAGCTGAGGTCTGAGGCTGAGGTCTGAGGCTGAGGTCTGAGGCTGAGGTCTGAGGCTGAGGTCTGCGGCTGAGGTCTGAGGCTGAGGTCTGAGGCTGAGGTCTGAGGCTGAGGTCTGAGGCTGAGGTCTGAGGCTGAGGTCTGAGGCTGAGGTCTGGGCTGAGGTCTGAGGCCTGGGATGAGGTCTGAGGATGAGGTCTGAGGCTGAGGTCTGAGGCTGAGGTCTGAGGCTGAGGTCTGAGGCTGAGGTCTGAGGCTGAGGTCTGAGGCTGAGGTCTGAGGCTGAGGTCTGAGGCTGAGGTCTGAGGCTGAGGTCTGGGCTGAGGTCTGAGGCTGAGGTCTGGGGCTGAGGTCTGAGGCTGAGGTCTGAGGCTGAGGTCTGAGGCTGAGGTCTGGGCTGAGGTCTGGGCTGAGGTCTGGGCTGAGGTCTGAGGCTGAGGTCTGAGGCTGAGGTCTGCGGCTGAGGTCTGAGGCTGAGGTCTGAGGCTGAGGTCTGGGGCTGAGGTCTGGGCTGAGGTCTGAGGATGAGGTCTGAGGCTGAGGTCTGGGGCTGAGGTCTGGGCTGAGGTCTGGGCTGAGGTCTGGGCTGAGGTCTGAGGCTGAGGTCTGAGGCTGAGGTCTGAGGCTGAGGTCTGAGGCTGAGGTCTGAGGCTGAGGTCTGAGGCTGAGGTCTGAGGCTGAGGTCTGAGGCTGAGGTCTGAGGCTGAGGTCTGAGGCTGAGGTCTGAGGCTGAGGTCTGAGGCTGAGGTCTGGGGCTGAGGTCTGAGGCTGAGGTCTGAGGCTGAGGTCTGGGCTGAGGTCTGGGCTGAGGTCTGAGGCTGAGGTCTGAGGCTGAGGTCTGAGGCTGAGGTCTGAGGCTGAGGTCTGAGGCTGAGGTCTGGGGCTGAGGTCTGGGCTGAGGTCTCGGCTGAGGTCTGAGGCTGAGGTCTGGGCTGAGGTCTGAGGCTGAGGTCTGAGGCTGAGGTCTGAGGCTGAGGTCTGAGGCTGAGGTCTGAGGCTGAGGTCTGAGGTCTGAGGCTGAGGTCTGAGGCTGAGGTCTGGGCTGAGGTCTGGGCTGAGGTCTGGGCTGAGGTCTGAGGCTGAGGTCTGATGCTGAGGTCTGAGGCTGAGGTCTGAGGCTGAGGTCTGAGGCTGAGGTCTGAGGCTGAGGTCTGAGGCTGAGGTCTGAGGTCTCGGCTGAGGTCTGAGGCTGAGGTCTAGGCTGAGGTCTGAGGCTGAGGTCTGAGGCTGAGGTCTGAGGCTGAGGTCTGGGCTGAGGTCTGAGGCTGAGGTCTGAGGCTGAGGTCTGAGGCTGAGGTCTGAGGCTGAGGTCTGAGGCTGAGGTCTGAGGCTGAGGTCTGAGGCTGAGGTCTGAGGCTGAGGTCTGAGGCTGAGGTCTGAGGCTGAGGTCTGAGGCTGAGGTCTGGGCTGAGGTCTGAGGCTGAGGTCTGAGGCTGAGGTCTGAGGCTGAGGTCTGAGGCTGAGGTCTGAGGCTGAGGTCTGAGGCTGAGGTCTGAGGCTGAGGTCTGGGCTGAGGTCTGGGCTGAGGTCTGGGGCTGAGGTCTGGGCTGAGGTCTCGGCTGAGGTCTGAGGCTGAGGTCTGAGGCTGAGGTCTGGGGCTGAGGTCTGAGGCTGAGGTATGGACTGAGGTCTGAGGCTGAGGTCTGAGGCTGAGGTCTGAGGCTGAGGTCTGGGCTGAGGTCTGGGCTGAGGTCTGAGGCTGAGGTCTGGGCTGAGGTCTCGGCTGAGGTCTGAGGCTGAGGTCTGAGGCTGAGGTCTGGGGCTGAGGTCTGGGGCTGAGGTCTGAGGCTGAGGTCTGGACTGAGGTCTGAGGCTGAGGTCTGAGGCTGAGGTCTGGGCTGAGGTCTGGGCTGAGGTCTGGGGCTGAGGTCTGGGCTGAGGTCTCGGCTGAGGTCTGGGCTGAGGTCTGAGGCTGAGGTCTGGGGCTGAGGTCTGAGGCTGAGGTCTGAGGCTGACGTCTGGGCTGAGGTCTGGGCTGAGGTCTGAGGCTGAGGTCTGAGGCTGAGGTCTGAGGCTGAGGTCTGAGGCTGAGGTCTGAGGCTGAGGTCTGAGGCTGAGGTCTGAGGCTGAGGTCTGAGGCTGAGGTCTGGGCTGAGGTCTGGGCTGAGGTCTGAGGCTGAGGTCTGAGGCTGAGGTCTGAGGCTGAGGTCTGAGGCTGAGGTCTGGGCTGAGGTCTGAGGCTGAGGTCTGGGGCTGAGGTCTGAGGCTGAGGTCTGGACTGAGGTCTGGGCTGAGGTCTGAGGCTGAGGTCTGAGGCTGAGGTCTGGGGCTGAGGTCTGAGGCTGAGGTCTGAGGCTGAGGTCTGGGCTGAGGTCTGAGGCTGAGGTCTGAGGCTGAGGTCTGAGGCTGAGGTCTGAGGCTGAGGTCTGAGGCTGAGGTCTGAGGCTGAGGTCTGGGCTGAGGTCTGAGGCTGAGGTCTGGGCTGAGGTCTGGGCTGAGGTCTGAGGCTGAGGTCTGGGCTGAGGTCTGAGGCTGAGGTCTGAGGCTGAGGTCTGAGGCTGAGGTCTGAGGCTGAGGTCTGAGGCTGAGGTCTGAGGCTGAGGTCTGAGGCTGAGGTCTGAGGCTGAGGTCTGAGGCTGAGGTCTGAGGCTGAGGTCTGAGGCTGAGGTCTGAGGCTGAGGTCTGAGGCTGAGGTCTGAGGCTGAGGTCTGAGGCTGAGGTCTGAGGCTGAGGTCTGAGGCTGAGGTCTGAGGCTGAGGTCTGAGGCTGAGGTCTGAGGCTGAGGTCTGAGCTGAGGTCTGGACCCGGGCTTTGGCAGCGAAGTCGATAATGTCACTGACTGTGATTGACGATCGATACGGGCGGACGCTGATTTATGATTGATGAAAGCGGACCACCTCACTAATAAGGAGGGAGGGGCAAGGGCCGCAGACACGTCCCCTTTACTGCAACCGATCAGGGGTGGAAGGGCAGTGGCAGCAGGGGCTGACGGGAGTCCGGGCCAGAGGAGGAGGAGCTCACGTCTGAGTGGAGTCGCTGTGAGAGAGAGTGGAGCTCAGGCTGTAATTAAGGCAGCGCTGAGAGGACTGATCCCATTTACAGGTGCACTCCGGCTCCTGCAGCAGCCGCACACGGATCAAACTCCGAACCCACCGTCGTCTGCACCAAAGCGTCACGCACAGGGACAATGAGGGCATTTACAGCCTGCAGCAGATGTTTGCTACGAAGACTGTCTGCTAGAAACAGGGTAATCTATGCCCTACTACTCCTGACCAAGACTTAAAAAGAGCACAGCTTTCAGAGTGCCTCCTTCTCCATGTCTTTCACTGTAAGATTGTGATGGATTATTGCACGTTTTAGAACCACCCCCAGGGAGCGTGAGAAAAATAAAAAAATAAAAGCCATATGGACACTAGACAAAGCACAAGACTCAGTCCACACTAAACTGTACCAATGTCTTAGATTTGGATCAGTGTCCGCGGCCGCTACAGCTGAATGTTCACAGACTCTGGTTTAGTCCCTTGTTTGTCCAGTGGAGGGCGCTCTTCTTAAACACAGTCATTAGCAACTGCAGACGTTTTGGACGTAGTGGACAAAGTGTTACGTCCAAATCTCCCAGTTTCTCTGCAGTTATTGAATAATCTATAATAACAGATTGATTCTAGTTTTATCCCCAACCATTAATCAATAAATAGCCTCTGTCCTGTTCATTATTCATTCACAAAACTTCCATCATGAAGTCCCCAAAGTTTAATACCATTTTTTTGAAAGTCATCCATTGTTCTTGAAATGGTTTTGAGCCCCTCTGAGATTCTCCTAAATATCTTTAAAGGACTTCTCACCCCCGCTCCTGGAGTCACTCACGTTTTCTTTTCAAATCTCCCTCCAAGTGGGCGTGGCCTGGAGGACACGGGGGGGGGGGGGGGGGGGGGGGGGGTTATCACAACTACGGGGGCGTGGATGAGACAGGACCGATATACCTCAGGGCGGCAACTGACGTCAGCCTTCACTGCAGACGTCGACCATCACGGCTGCGCCAATAGTGACGCCAGATTCCAAATTCAAATGTAGTAAATACAGGTCGCCTGCAGATGGCGCCCCACTGACTGTTTTAGGCAGAAAGTTGAGCTTTCATCTCATTTGCACTAAAGTGACAAAATTATGACCAGGATATGTACACAACACTATTGGACACTGGATTTGAGAGAGAGTTGTCTTTTAAGCTACATACTATTATAGAATTATTAGGTACAAACTTATTTAGTTCATACATTTATTTTATTGCTGCTTGAAGTAAGACACATTGTACAGTTTAGTTTGGACTGATCCATATTAGTCCACAGAGCAGCATCTCCAGCATTTAGAGCAGAACACATGAACTGATGACACATGAAAATAAACATTGCCAATCTTGGTAAAAACGTGACCCATTTTGTGAAATTAGCCGATCACTTCCTGTTTACAGCGTCTCACGTCTGCATGCGGCCCATTCGTTAACAGTGTCTTTGTGTCTGACAGGATTTTGAAATAACCTCTTCCAAAAACCGTGTCGTATGAGTCTAGACCGTGAGCCCAGATTATGTGCCGACCTCGCGGTTTCCCCGTCTGTACAAGTGGACGGCGGCGATCCAACGCGTTCACAACAGTTTCCCTGACAGCTGCTGGAGACTAATGGGCCAAGATTAATTCCAGAGTGAGATGCGACGTCACTCGTACCGTTCTGTACGTCTGATCTTCAAACAGCGCCGTAGACAATCACCTCTTTTATTATTCATTCAAATCTGAGGTATTCTCTTTGTTCTTGACACTAATTCTTTTGCTCTTGAGGAGAAAGAAAAACGTATGCTACAGATGGAGGTGATGTGGTCCAAGGAGCGGTTTTTAATCTTATCCTCGAGCTCTGTTTTTTATTCAAACAGGAAGTAAACTGGATCGTACCAAAATAGGCTTTGAGATGTTTGTAGCTTTAGCAACACCGTGTGGTTGAACCGGAGAGAGCGTGTATTAGGAGACAGCTGAAGCTCATGTCCTTATATGGGCATTTGCTTTGACAGGGTTTGCTTTGTGTTGTAACAAGGGCAGACCTAGCCTGGTCTTACCACACCATTGTACTTATTTCATACTAAGGTCTGGATTGTCTCCATTGACTCTGTTAACAGGTGGGAGGGGCTAACTCCTTTTGCAGATTGAAACCATTGGATCTGAGTTTACCGTGACGTATGTAATGAGCCCGAGTGAGTGAGGCCTTAAGGATTTAGTCTAGCTTTAGCATGTAGCCTAGCTTTAGCATTTAGCCTAGCTTTAGCATGTAGCCTAGCTTTAGCATTTAGCCTAGCTTTAGCATGTAGCCTAGCTTTAGCATTTAGCCTAGCTTTAGCATTTAGCCTAGCTTTAGCATGTAGCCTAGCTTTAGCCATCTCCTTTGCCACTAACGGAGCCCGTGGGGAGTAAAGCCACAACATCTTTGCTTCAATGACATTTACTAAACATTCCTCTTGCTCCGGCTTCAGTTTCTTGATATTTGGATTGAACCAGAACAGATTATTTTACTATCGCATTCTCCGACAAACTACAACCAGAAAATTCAGCACAAACTCTTGACGTCACCGACACCGATACAGGCGTATCGACAAAGACACATCAATATCTGTGAGATCGGAGAACGGCCGCATGGTGCAGCTAACTTCAGCGTGTTTAAAAGTCCGTTATCGGTGAACGAATCCAGACACAGCCTCAAGGACGAGGCCAGTGCAACATCAGCAGCACCTGGAGGAAACCCACAGCTGCAGACTGTTTTCATGGACATACTAGGTCTTTGGACATGAACAACCCCAGGACCAAAAGTGACCATCGGTACATCAGGCTGGTAACGCCTTCCATTGTGTTGGATAAAATAATAATAATAATAATAATGCAGTAACTGAGGACAAAAGCAATCAGACAGTAAGAGACACAGGTCGACTCCATCTTGGACACAATGGTTTAGGGATATTTTTTACTTTATCGAACTGTAAAAGAGATAGAATCGAACATACCTGGCAACCGCTGTTACAAGTAGTACAACACTTGGATTTCCCTCCTTTCCCAGATTTGTTTCTTGATTTTTCTTGAATAGGTTTTTTAAACGTGTATTAAATGTGTGTTTGTTTTTTCTAATCTATTGTTGGGGAATTTTTGTTGGGTTTTTGCACTGTACAAAAATACATTCATAAGACATTAATGCAGAACAGCGAGTCTGACGCAAGACCAGGAAGTCGAGCTTATGAAGTGCAGCGGGAAAAAGGCTTATACACAACTTCAGAGACAGTGGGAACAGAGCATTAAGCTATGGCCCACTCTCATCTGTCACCGACGGCAACCGGGCCATCCCCCGCCATGATGGGAGCTTAATTGGGACCATGATGAGGTCTGATGAGGCTGGTGCTTATTGAATTCCCAAGCCTGTTGTTTGGATAAAGCTGCAGAAGAACGGCCTCCCTCGTCTTCCTCTTTCTCAGCGGCTGACTGTCCCGGCAGGAGGCTCGCTCGCTAATCCACTCCGGTTTGTACGGTCGGGACAAGACACGGATTTGGACGGAATTTGGTTTAAACTTGCTTGGGTTGTCATCGCAAAAGATTCACCAATAAAGCAGGAAATAGAGAAGCAAATATGTATACATTACGACTGATAAATGATGGTTTTATGGGTTCCAGAAGCGAGAGTGGCGGGGAGCAGGAACTATGGGTGGATTTGATGAATTATATCAGTGTCCCCCAACCTTTTTGAGCCGTGGCACACCTTTGTCACTGCTAAATATCAACAGCACACCACCAACTGAATTAGATACTAAATTTAAACTCTACATCCTTTATTAACAAAGTTATTCTCATCAATGTGGATTATTTAGCAAATCAAAAAAGCATATTATTATCTTTTCACATGATTTTGACTAAGCAGGTATTAATGGGGCAACAGTAGCTCAGTTGTAGAGCATTGGCCTTTGAGCCTGAAGGTCGTGGGTTCAAGCCCACCATAAGACCTACTTCACGACTCCCACTGATGACTGCTGTCGTTGTGTCCTTGGGCAAGACACTTGACCCCACTTTGCCTGAAGCTCCCACTGAAAGATCTCAGCTCCTGTGGACTCAGCACCTGCAGGAGGATCAGTGAGGGGCTGGTGCTCTGTGTACTGGGTACAGCTCTGACTGCCACCCCCCCGACCCAGAAATGGATTAAGGGGAAGAAAATGGATGGATGGATGGAGGTGATAATGGACTATTTCCAAGGCACACTAATACACGTCTCAAGGCCCACCAACGTACCACGGCCCACTGGTTGAAAAACACTGAATTATGCAAAACCTTTTTGTTTCAACGTATGCAGGGGATTAGAGTCTGGTGCTGATATCAGTTATATCAAATATCAGTTGAGCGCCTACTTTCCTCCATGGCAGGGGTCTCTAACCTTTTTCACCTGAAGAGATACTTTCTTGGGATTAAAATGGGACGATATGCTTGTAAAATAAACACATTAAAACGATAACAAATACCAATGAAGTGAGTACTGTGGGCGCATAACATCCAAGGCTTAAAGAGAAGGTCACTAATTCTCAGTTCAAAGAGTCAAAAAGTTACTCACTCTCACAAAACACCAAAGATAACATCGGATTCAGTATTATTTTCATTTGCAGTACAACCCAATTGGAATAACTGTGCAAGAGTAGCCCATTTCGCACCAGACAGAGCAGATGGAACACACCAGAGTTTTAAATGTCAAGCTCAGACAGAGAGATACTTCAGGGAAAAAGCAGACGACCTCCAAACAAGAAAGAAACAAAACATTGCGATATTATTTGGATCAAAAAACGGCTGTGAATAAAACAACAAACACGATTCTTCAAATCCACAACTGTTTAAGAACGAGATATTGTCCAGTCTGGTCTGGTCTGGTCTGGTCTGGTCTGGTGCCTGTGGAGTGTGTCCTTATGCAGCGCCAAGGAGTGTGAACGAGAGAGAGACAGAACAGAGCAGAGGAAGTTCCAGAGCAGATGGCTGAATGGCAGGACAACAAACTTTTAATTCAGAGACTCACGGCGACTGAGGAGAGGAGTGTGATGTCACAGAGGGGGGAGGAGCTGGGGGAGGGGCTGGGGGAGGGGCCAAGAGAGCCTCTCCATCCAGGACAAAACACATTCAGGCTGATGGAATCTCCTCTGCTGAGTCAATGTGCAGCATCTGAATTTTAAATGTGTTCTTAGGCGGTGTCACGGTGCAGAACGAAACTATACAGCAATAAAATCATAAATAATCACAGTTAATGAAAAATAAAAATATAAAATCCCTCAGTTGTAGCACAGCTAAACAGAACCGTTTTTAATCTGGTTTTAAACATTGTCAGAGAGGAGGCCTGTCTCACATCTTCAGGAGGATTGTTCCAGATTTTAGCAGCATGAATCTGAAAAGCAGCCTCCCCATGTTTAGTTCTGACTCTGGGCACTAACAGGAGTCCAGTCCCTGTGCTCCTCAGAGTCCCAGCAGGAGTCCAGTCCCTGTGCTCCTCAGAGTCCCAGCAGGAGTCCAGTCCCTGTGCTCCTCGGAGTCCCAGCAGGAGTCAAGTCCCTGTGCTCCTCAGAGTCCCAGCAGGAGTCCAGTCCCTGTGCTCCTCAGAGTCCCAGCAGGAGGCCAGTCCCTGTGCTCCTCAGAGTCCCAGCAGGAGGCCAGTCCCTGTCGTCGTTAAAGGGCCTAATCTGTCGCCGTTAAAGGGCCCTAATCTCATCATTAAAGGGCCCTAATCTGTCATCATTAAAGAGCCCTAATCTGTCATCATTAAAGGGCCCTAATCTGTCATAATGAAAGGGCGTTAATCTTTCATCATTAAAGGGCCCTAATCTGTCGTCATTAAAGGGCCCTAATCTGTCGTCATTAAAGGGCCCTAATCTGTCGTCATTAAAGGGCCCTAATCTGTCATCATTAAAGGGCCCTAATCTGTCATAATAATAAACTGCTCTTTTCCAATCCTTCTTCAACTGATAAGTCGTTCAGAGATATTTGAATTTCTAAATTATTTTTCCAGTCTCTAAATCTTGTTATTGTTTTCATTTCGATGTCCCGCCCTCCACCGTTTCACCAATCAGAAAGTCTGTGATCCGGGCGCCAGAACTCACCGTGTGGAGCTAATCTCACTGGTAAAGTACCATGTGGCGCAGAACTAAAAAAGGTCTCGTTATGATTCTCAAATCATTAACGACAAAACAAAGAATAAAAGCAGGATTTCTATCTTTGTGAAAAAGGTGTTGGTTATAGATTTGTTGTTGACAAAACTCTTGTCTATTCAGCTGTTATGGTCCCAGCTGGATTCGTCTGCATATCTGGCAACCTGAGTCAGGGAGAGTGGGAGAGGCTGCAGTACAACAACCTTGAACCCAAACGCAGTCCTGTGACCCACAAACCACGTTGACTAATAACAGAGATTTCTAACTCTATATCTATGTTTATCCACAGTCATGGAGTAAAGTGTAGGATTAACTCCTCTGCAGTTTTGGAAAGGTCACTGAGACTCTGCACATGAACGTAACGTACAGAAAAGGTTAAAGATACAGGTTTTGGGAAGAGTCAAGGTCTGTGTCCGCAACTGTCTGTGTTATTCTCCATATATTCATCAGAAATGTATTGACACCAAGAGTTTGGCAGCAGTAACAGCAGCAGTAACAACAGCATCAGTAACAACAGCAGCAGTAACAACAGCATCAGTAACAACAGCATCAGTAACAACAGCATCAGTAACAACAGCATCAGTAACAACAGCATCAGTAACAACAGCATCAGTAACAACAGCAGAAGCAGCATCAGTAACAACAGCATCAGTAACAACAGCATCAGTAACAGCAGCATCAGTAACAACAGCAGCAGTAACAACAGCATCAGTAACAACAGCATCAGTAACAACAGCATCAGTAACAACAGCATCAGTAACAACAGCATCAGTAACAACAGCATCAGTAACAACAGCAGAAGCAGCATCAGTAACAACAGCATCAGTAACAACAGCATCAGTAACAGCAGCATCAGTAACAACAGCAGCAGTAACAACAGCATCAGTAACAACAGCAGCAGTAACAACAGCATCAGTAACAACAGCAGCAGTAACAACAGCATCAGTAACAACAGCAGCAGTAACAACAGCATCAGTAACAACAGCAGCAGTAACAACAGCATCAGTAACAACAGCAGCAGCAGAGTGTAGCCTTCAGACTGTTCTCTTCATTGTGACCGCGGGTTTTCACACCAACTTACATTCTTCTCTGTGAGGACGAGTGCAAACCATGAACGTTATTGTAATTAAGAGTGAGTAAAGTGAAGCTCGTCTCTCACTGAAATAATGCAGGATATTTGGTTAAAGTTGCATTTGAAAGAGGTTGTCTTCATATAATATACACATTTAACCATTGAAGCTCGTAGTATAAACAATATGAAGTATTTAATTCCATGATAAAGATATTTAAAACAGTTTATGCCTTGGAATAATCAATAGCTTTAAGATTTGCTGGAGGAGAACAGTTCGACCGACGGTGAGGAGCCTCAGCTGTCCATCAAGGATTTGAATTCATTGCGTCCAATCAGGAGCTTGTGGGGGCGGGTCTTACTGCTCAAAAGCAACAAATGAAAACCTCATATCAGTAACATCGAACCACTGCAAAAGAACATGTATTACTCTTTCATGTAACGGTTTGTAGGTTTGGGGAATATGGAGGTGGTGGAGTTATTTGGGGTTGTGGTTTTATTGGGGCGCCACGTATTCCTCCTGACAAGTGGGAGAGTAAAGGTTTGTTAACTATTGACCCGTCACACAAGGACTTATCATATAATATCAAAATAAACAGTTTTCCCTAAAAGATGAATGACAAAAAAACAAAATAAACACTGTCCACACAGAAAGTCCAAAAGTGAATCAATATATTTCCCCTCCCAAAGTCCACACGTTTCGGCAGCTCTCTCATAAGATGGTATTGAAGCATTTACAGCTCAGACACAAATCAGCTTATGTCTATGTTTCTGTGCTCCCTGTGTCTCGTACTGCTGTCCTGTCTGTGCGCTGCAACACTGAAAGTTCCCCACAGTTGGACAAATAAAGAATCTCTTATCTTATTATGTCCTTTATCTTGTCCTGGTCTCGTTGAGTTTTGGGCTGACAAATCAAACAATAGTCCGTACTTCGGGGTCACGGATGTTGTCCTGGGATCATGGAGCGGCCGCAGCGTGAGCCGCATTTAAACGCTTACATGCAGACGGTACAACGTCCAGCTCACCGGGGCCACGGCCAATCAATATCCACCGCACTCTCCCCAATCTGGAGCATAATCCACCGTCTCCGAGGCCATTTTGCTTTGAAATTGGATCCAGGCCTCGCTCTGACCCTCCCCCTTCTGCCCGCTGTGCTACAACTAAGACGCCTTGAGGAATTGATGGGTTTGGAGATTAGCGATATGTTTAAAGAGCAAGATATGACTCAAAGCACTTCATACACTCCGTCTTTGTTTGTATTTAAAAGACTAGAAAGTTGTAGCATTTTGACAGAATCGTTGCTAGCATGCTACAAAAGTCACTGCTGCAAAGACATCACGTTTTGTCGCCAAATAATGCCAATATTGTCCTATTGTCATCAAAACGTTGCCAGAGTTCTAAGTTAAGATTGTGAGAATTCAATCTATACTTCAAACTTGGACCATGTGACATTTCAGCGATGGTCCGTCACTTTGATGTGGCTGCTTTGAAGTATCCCAGTGTCCCCCAGTGTCCCACAGTGTCCCCCAGTGTCCCAGTGTCCCCCAGAGTCCCCCAGTGTCCCCAGTGTGTCCCACAGTGTCCCCCAGTGTCCCACAGTGTCCCACAGTGTCCCCCAGAGTCCCCCAGTGTCCCCGGTGTGTCCCACAGTGTCCCCCAGTGTGTCCCACAGTGTCCCCCAGTGTCCCACAGTGTCCCACAGTGTCCCACAGTGTCCCCCAGTGTCCCACAGTGTCCCCCAGTGTCCCCCAGTGTCCCACAGTGTCCCACAGTGTCCCCCAGTGTCCCACAGTGTCCCCCAGTGTCCCACAGTGTCCCCCAGTGTCCCACAGAGTCCCACAGTGTCCCACAGTGTCCCAGTGTCCCACAGAGTCCCACAGTGTCCCACAGTGTCCCCCAGTGTCCCCCAGTGTCCCCCAGTGTCCCACAGAGTCCCACAGTGTCCCACAGTGTCCCACAGTGTCCCCCAGTGTTCCACAGTGTCCCCCAGTGTCCCACAGTGTCCCACAGTGTCCCACAGTGTCCCCCAGTGTCCCCCAGTGTTCCACAGTGTTCCACAGTGTCCCACAGTGTCCCACAGTGTCCCACAGTGTCCCACAGTGTCCCACAGAGTCCCACAGAGTCCCACAGTGTCCCACAGTGTCCCACAGTGTCCCACAGTGTCCCACAGGCTGAGACTCTTTACTCTCCGTGTTAAATGGAACAATGTTTTCCCGATCGGAATAAATCTAATCTTTTCTCTTTTCCTCCTCCTGGACATTTCATGCTTCAAAAATAACACCGACAAACGATAATAAACTAAGCTAAAACCTATAAATAATGTACTGTGTGTTAAAGCTGAGGTACTTAACGCTCAAAACTCTATATATATATAAAATAATCAATGTTCTAAAACTGCTGACACTGCAAAAAGGGGGAAAAGTAATTAAAAAGTTGCTCAGATTCGGCTGCACTGTCTGTATTCTCTTTCACTGATTTGTTTTACATAAGTGAAAGCTGTATGTTTGTTTATGTTAAAATGTAAATAAAGTTCAGGGAAAGAAGTAAAAAAATGGCCTTAAATTTGGCAAAATGGGACAAAGCAAAATTATCTTGTTTTAAAAAAGATACAGAAATATCTCCTTTGGAATGAGGAGTTTTAAGACAGAATGTGTCAGATTAAGATAAATCACTCGATTAAAGCAGTTATGAACTCATATTTTTGCATTTTTTTTCAGATAGAAAAGAGAAAAAGCTCACAGGGTTTTTGTTTGTCATGGTTGAGTTTGTACGAAAATGAAGACGGTGTATTTTATTTGATTTTTTCACAACATTATTTACTTTATTTAACCAAAAACGCGGTGAATACAAAAACTTTACACAAACATAGGGACCACAGAGAGATCACGGAGACCCCACAGACCACTGAGAGACCACAGAGAGACCAGAGAGAGACCACTGAGAGACCAGAGAGAGACCAGAGAGAGACCAGAGAGAGACCAGAGAGAGACCAGAGAGAGACCAGAGAGAGACCAGAGAGAGACCAGAGAGAGACCAGAGAGAGACCAGAGACCACTGAGAGACCAGAGAGAGACCAGAGAGAGACCAGAGAGAGACCAGAGAGAGACCAGAGAGAGACCAGAGAGAGACCACTGAGAGACCACTGAGAGACCACTGAGAGACCAGAGAGAGACCAGAGACCACTGAGAGACCAGAGAGAGACCAGAGAGAGACCAGAGAGAGACCAGAGACCACTGAGAGACCAGAGAGAGACCAGAGAGAGACCAGAGAGAGACCAGAGAGAGACCAGAGAGAGACCAGAGAGAGACCAGAGACCAGAGAGGGACCAGAGAGAGACCAGAGAGAGACCAGAGAGGGACCAGAGAGAGACCAGAGACCACAGAGAGACCAGAGAGAGACCACTGAGAGACCAGAGAGAGACCAGAGACCACTGAGAGACCAGAGAGAGACCAGAGAGAGACCAGAGACCACTGAGAGACCAGAGAGAGACCAGCGAGAGACCAGAGAGGGACCAGAGAGAGACCAGAGACCACAGAGAGACCAGAGAGAGACCACTGAGAGACCAGAGAGAGACCAGAGAGAGACCAGAGAGAGACCAGAGACCACAGAGAGAGACCAGAGAGAGACCACGGAGAGACCACACAGACCACAGAGAGACCAAAGAGAGACCAGACCTCACAGACCTCACATTATCCACAGAAATGCAGGTAGTTTGTCAAGAAATAATGATATTATTTAAAGTATTTGACGTCTTTCGGCCTCGGAGCCTTTTGTAGAATCAAACATTTCTTTGATGAATGAAACAGAAACCTCGTCCGCTCAGAGAACTGTGACTTTTGCATCTGTTTTGGTTTCACTCATTCATAGAAACAACATTTTCAGTTCTTCAAAGAAAAGTCTGGAGAATCCTCAACTTGAACTGTATTTTTCTACTTGTGAATGACATGAGTCACATTTATATATAACGCACATTCACAAACCAGGGTCACACAAAGTACTTCACAATGTGGCGTTTTCCATTTAATCCACAGTTAACCCTCGAGGCGCCAAGATGTGGTAATGTTACTATGTTTTTACTATTTTTACCATTTCCCTTTGAGTTGTGTTTGTGCGTTTATGTCCTAGTGAGTTTCATGTCTGTCAGTTAGAAAAAAATACATTTCACGACATGATTTTAATCCATAACTGCCACCACCGTGTGACATCATATGCAAAATAGATGGGTCATTCTAATCCCTACACAAACTTTGGGCCATCCTTAATATTTCTCTAATTTACATTACGCCTCTGTTTCTGATCACATTTTAGTCATAGCCGTTCGAAATTAAGACGTTGTTTTAGGAGAGAACCTCTGGCGCCTAAAAGGTCAATGTCAGATACACTGCTCTGTCCCAAAAGGAGAGGAACCACTATAAGGGCAGACATTTTTACTGAAGTAGATTCAGGACCTATGGAGTCTATATAGAGTCAAAAGCAGAAAAAAAACGACAGACAATAATTTGAGCAGAAGTCATGTCCTTTTTGATATTTCAAAGGGTTGAATGTAATTGCTCTGTTAGTGGTCAAGTAAAGTCAATACAATTACAACCCAAGTTTCCAGAAACCTCTCTTCTGTGAGACGTGCTGCTCTTAAGCACTGGTTACTGATTGAATCCACCTGCTGGAGTTTATTCCAATGCAATGTTTTCTAGTATCGCCCTCAATACCAACAGTACATTTCTCTGAGGACTTTACAAAACCCTTGAATTCAGCAAAACAGACATTAGCTAAAGTCTCCAGTGTGCACAAGACAAGTACATACAGAAAATATATCAAACAGTCCATAAAGAGCAGAGACAATGTCCATAAAAGTTGTTGAATGTGTCTTGGATCATCTCTGCTGTCGTTATGTCAGAGCCTCCTGCATCCTCAAAGAACAAATCTAATCCCAGTGGGAAAAGTGAGAAACCTCGGGGAGACCCACATTGACAGGGATCTGGTCCCACGGACGGATCCAGGACTCAGGCTACAAGGTTTAGCATGACATAGTAGAAAATCTGTCTATTTTTGTATCTGCTTTCAAATGTAAAGTGCCATTTTTACAGAGCCAAAACCAGCTACATTTCATCTACCAACCTGGCAACCCAAATGAGAGCTTAATCTGATAATCTGCTTCAAAACCATAAACAAATCATGTCCACAGTTTTTTTAATAACTCCGCTTTAAACTTTTGCTGAGAAAAGCGCTGCTACGGTTCTACACGTGACCTGTTCTCTGGCGACCTGTTCTCAGAAGCCCCCATGACCCGGCAACGGATGAAGCGGAAGAAAATAGATGGATAGACACTGTCTCTTTGTTATTTTGTGATTTTGCTGAACCTGAAGCATTCCTCCATCCACAGTGGAACTATTCGTCAGGAGAATCTAAACTGGAAACTCCTCCCAGCGGCGAATGGCACCTAATATTTCAACATTAAAGTGAAAGGAACAAAAACAGTTCACGCCACATGGTTCTTACCACATGGTTTGTCCACATCAAGACATAAACCTTGCCCAAAGGAAAACTCTTTTTAAAGCAGACTAATTCCAAACAAAACGTCCTCCTCTTTTTCATAATCTTTCTCCAAATCTGATAATTCTGACGGAGAAACCACTCTGGGTTTTCAGCCGTGATGGGGTCGCGGCCCACAGCGGGTCCTTGTTCTCGGAGTCTCCTTCTGTCAGACCGGAGCAGGAGTTATGGCGTGAGATTGAGGCTCCTGGAAACACCTGCTGCATTAGCTCATGTCTGTGCTGCTCTCTGCTCCTCTCGTTTACAGTAGAACAGACACAGATGCACATGTGCAGCGACCCAAACACGCATGCAATGGAACATCCACTCTACTGTTGCATGCAGCGCTCAGGAGTACTTCACACACGCAGTACTTTACAGGTTTGCATTACTCTGTTCCACTGCGAGTCTATAAAAGTAGGTGTTAATTGTCTGGTGATCTGAACTGTTTTTTACTTTGAGTGAAATCTGAATCACTCCAAAATAAACTGGACAATCGTCAAATCTTACTTCTAGTGATAATGAAATAAATGTTTGTACCTAATAATTCTTTAATACTATGTAGTTTATGGATGTACAGGAGAATCTCAGAGCGGCTCAAAACCATTCTTAAAAAGTAGATGCCTTTCAAAAAAAGTGTATTGAACTTTGAGGACATAATTGTTACATGTAGGACGTTGTTGGAAGAAACAGGACAGAGACTATTTAATGGTCGAGAATCTGACTATAATCAATTGCTAATATAGATTATACAATACTGTATATAATGTACACAATAGGATTCAATAACTGCACAGAAACTGGGCGTTTTGGACGTACAGTAGTTTGGTGAAGGTGTTGCTGCTTCCTCACAACAGAAGTAGCTTTGACTCAGACAGAACCAGTCCGTGTCATCGCAGCCACATGTGGTCTCCGCCACACGCAGTCTCCGCCACACGCAGACGCAGCCACACGCAGTCGCAGCCACACGCAATCGTAGCCACATGCAGTCGCAACCACATGCAGTCGCAGCCACACGCAATCGTAGCCACACGCAGTCGCAGCCACATGCAGTCGCAACCACATGCAGTCTCCGCCACACGCAGTCTCCGCCACACGCAGTCGCAGCCACACGCAGTCGCAGCCACACGCAATCGTAGCCACACGCAGTCGCAGCCACAGCCACATGCAGTCGCAGCCACATGCAGTCGCAGCCACACGCAGTCGCAGCCACATGCAGTCGCAGCCACACGCAGTCGCAGCCACATGCAGTCGCAGCCACACGCAGTCGCAGCCACACGCAGTCGCAGCCACACGCAGTCGCAGCCACACGCAGTCGCAGCCACACGCAGTTGCAGCCACAGCCACATGCAGTCGCAGCCACATGCAGTTGCAGCCACATGCAGTCGCACGCAGTCTCCGCCACATGCAGTCTCCGCCACATGCAGTCTCCGCCACACGCAGTCTCCGCCACACGCAGTCTCCGCCACACGCAGTCTCCGCCACACGCAATCGTAGCCACACGCAGTCGCAGCCACAGCCACATGCAGTCGCAGCCACATGCAGTCGCAGCCACACGCAGTCGCAGCCACACGCAGTTGCAGCCACACGCAGTCGCAGCCACACGCAGTCGCAGCCACAGCCACACGCAGTCGCAGCCACACGCAGTTGCAGCCACAGCCACATGCAGTCGCAGCCACATGCAGTTGCAGCCACATGCAGTCGCACGCAGTCTCCGCCACATGCAGTCTCCGCCACATGCAGTCTCCGCCACATGCAGTCTCCGCCACATGCAGTCGCAGCCACAGCCACATGCAGTCTCAGCCACATGCAGTCGCAGCCACAGCCACATGCAGTCGCAGCCACAGCCACATGCAGTCTCCGCCACATGCAGTCTCTAGCATGACATAGTAGAAAATCTGTCTATTTTTGTATCTGCTTTCAAATGTATAGTGCCATTTTTACAGAGCCAAAACCAGCTACATTTCATCTACCAACCTGGCAACCCAAATGAGAGCTTAATCTGATAATCTGCTTCAAAACCATAAACAAATCATGTCCACTGTTTTTTTAATAACTCCGCTTTAAACTTTTGCTGAGAAAAGCGCTGCTACGGTTCTACACGTGACCTGTTCTCTGGCGACCTGTTCTCAGAAGCCCCCATGACCCGGCAACGGATGAAGCGGAAGAAAATAGATGGATAGACACTGTCTCTTTGTTATTTTGTGATTTTGCTGAACCTGAAGCATTCCTCCATCCACAGTGGAGGAATCTCCACTGTGGAGATTCCGCCACATGCAGTCTCCGCCACATGCAGTCGCAGCCACATGCAGTCTCCGCCACATGCAGTCTCCGCCACACGCAGTCTCCGCCACATGCAGTCGCGGCCACACGCAGTCGCAGCCACACGCAGTCGCAGCCACACGCAGTCGCAGCCACAAGCAGTCTGAGCCACATGCAGTCGCAGCCACATGCAGTCGCAGCCACATGCAGTCGCAGCCACACGCAGTCGCAGCCACACGCAGTCTCAGCCACATGCAGTCGCAGCCACAGCCACATGCAGTCGCAGCCACACGCAGTCGCAGCCACACGCAGTCTCCGCCACATGCAGTTGCAGCCACATGCAGTCGCACGCAGTCTCCGCCACATGCAGTCTCAGCCACATGCAGTCTCCGCCACATGCAGTCACACGCAGTCGCAGCCACACGCAGTCGCAGCCACACGCAGTCGCAGCCACACGCAGTCGCAGCCACACGCAGTCGCAGCCACATGCAGTCGCAGCCAGATGCAGTCGCAGCCACACGCAGTCGCAGCCACATGCAGTCACAGTGTACAGTATATCTATAGAGTGAAGGAGTGAGAGTGGTAATTGCCCACTGTCTGTTCCCTGTGTTTTGGAGGTGTCGAGGGACCACCCCCGCAGCGCTGCAGCAGAGCGCGCTGCCCGTCTCTCGCCGGAGCGGGTAATGGGGAGAAAACACCGCCACTAAAAGCCCATGGCGTCCCAACAACCGCCACTCCAACTACACGCTGCACGGTGGGAGCAAAACACAGCCGCCAGCACCAGTGACTGATGAAGAGCCTAAAGATAGACTCATTTCTCTCCTTTTGTCTCGGGCTAAACTCCGGAGCTAGAGGCAGCAGTCTCAGAAATAACTGTTTTGTTATTCTTATAGAAAACTGTAAAATGTAAGCTAGCATTTTTAACCTGAGCTGGGTGTAGTGGAGGCGGTGGTTTATGAAAATACAGCATTATATAAAATGGGTGTCAATACATTTACACTTGATGTAGGAGTGGAATATATCTGGAAATTGATGGAAGAACTAATGTAAACAAAACGACTGGTAAGTTCTGTGTGTCTTAGTGAAACCAAAGTTGTTAAAAAGGTCTTTTCCGAAGTCGAGAAGCCAAATAATTGCTGTATTAAGAATATTTCATAGTCATTTTATACAAGTCTCATCCAGTCAGTAAAGAATGTGGACATCTCACTACATGTGTCTCTTTTCTGCCGTGGAAATGAATGGAAAGATAAAATAAGATGGTTATTAATTATTCTGTACGTGGCTTTTAATAACTTAATGTCCGCCTGACACCAGATGGAAACAAGCTTCAGGACCAACTCTGACGTACCGTATAAGTCGTACCAGTCAAAAATGCATGATAAAGAAGGAAAAAAAACATAAGTAGCTCTAGAAAATAATTAGCAGCTTTTGGGGAAATGTAGGCAGTTAAAAAATAAAAACAGTACAGAGAAAAACAGCTGAATTAGTGTCGGTTCTGTGAGGCATAAAGAAGAAACTGAGACCGTCCGGGTTTGTTAACGTCAGATATAAGTGAGTAATGTTTAATTAGACCAGATGATCAAAGCACTTTACAATTGTTTTTTTGTTTTTTTTACGTTAAGTGTCAAATAACTTCAGCACATGTACATTTCTCCAGTGTGAGATCAATAAAGAACATTTACAAGTTTAACAAAGAATCAGTGTCTTTCAATCACTAGATCCAGTTAAATCTTCCTTCGTGTCACGTCCGAACAACTCCAGGTACATAAAATATCCATCCATCCATTTTCTTCCCCTTAAAGCCTAGTGTATACTTGTACGGCGCTGCTTACGTTAGCGGTGGACCTCCGCAAGCACAATTTAATTTATACTCCTTGCGCAGTTTTAAGGAGAATATTGTAATCCCACAACCAACCACATGATGGCGATCTCACAGGAGTTGCTTGAGAAACCAAAGCGGTCTCATTTACGCTGCTTCTTTCTCCTCTTCAGAGCAAAAACATGAACAAACCGAGCTGTTTGAGATCATTACATGTGTTTCTACTGTAGGTTTATGTGACTGTTCTAAACTCATCGTTTCAACTCATTTAACTGTGATGCTGTGAATAAAGACACAGTTCTGTTGGAAACATAGTTATTATTAAAGTGTATTCATCACAAACAGCAAAACAAAAAGTGGTAAATATCTGAGGCAAACATGAACTATTTATAAGTACAGGAGGAATGGAACAGACGCAGCTACGATTCAAACAGACAGGAACAGTGCAAAAGAAACGACTGCACAGTTTATAAGTTATATATATGTTAGATAGTCCACAGTCTCCTGCATATCAGGCTCTGAGCCCAAACTGCTTTTCCTTTGGTTCCTTTGAAGCTTGAAGCTGTCTGCTCCATAGTCCCTCGTCCATGCTCCTGCAGCTGCTCCGTGCTTCCTTCCAATACACCCATACAGGGACCAATCACAGCGGAGCTTCCTTGCGGCGACCCTTACGTAGTTAGAAAATGTTGATGCTGCGCGGCAGGCGACGTAAGGGCCTTGTGGTGACCAACGCGTTGCGCAAGTGACGTCACGGTCACGTCACCTCCGTAAGCTCCGCGCCACGTGATTATACACTAGGCTTAATCCATTTCCGGGTCGGGGGGTGGCAGTCAGAGCCCCTCACTGATCCTCCTGCAGGTGCTGAGTCCACAGGAGCTGAGATCTTTCAGTGGGGGCTTCAGGCAAAGTGGGGTTAAGTCTCTTGCCCAAGGACAAAACGACAGCAGTCATCAGTGGGAGTCGTGAAGTAGGTTTTACGGTGGGCTTGAACTCACAGCCTTCAGGCCTAAAGGCCAATGCTCTACACACTGTCGCCCTAAATAAATAAAATATATAATTTAATAACTTCCCACATAAGTCGCAGCCTCGGCCAAACTATGACGAAAACTGCAATTTAATAAAAAACATGGTATTTACATCATGAATGTGTACTGCTCCATTCAAATAATACATTAAACTAAACTTTGACCAAACGACTCAGGGCGCCATGTGACGGTGGCTTCTGTGACGGCGCCGAAAGGAAACATGGAACGCACTAAACACGATCGTAAAACCGTAACACAAAGTCTGCTCCGAGACACATCGTCCAAACTCCCATGAGCCGCAACCGGAAAAGTCCTCACCCTCGAGATACAGTTCTGCAGAATGCTACAGTGTTGTGCAAAAGTATTCACACCCCATGAACTCATCTACATTTGTCACAAAGAGCCTCAGATCAGTGTCTGACCACGACGCCGTGTCTTGGTAGGTTTGCAGTTGCACCAAACGCTTCCCCAGATGATGGACTACACTCTGCTCTGATCTTAGAAAATCTACGTAAGACCAAAACATGCTTTAAAGATGAAGATATAGAGATCCTTTATCTGTCTCTCAGAGCGGGGAAATGCCAGTGTTGCATCAGCAGTCACAAAACAGTAGAATGAGGAGCACACAGCACAAAATAACACTAAACGAAAAAAAAAAAAAACTTCTCTCTGACCTCTCTGTTTCTTGGAATAAATAATCTTTTCAAACAGAACAGCTGTAATCGTTCTGAGATTAGATCCCACTCAGAGGCACCGCAGAAACAGAGAAACGGAGGCTAAATACTTCAACAAACTTTGAGGTGTTTTACAAAGAAAATAAATCTGTTTCCACTTCACATTTGTGGGTCGTGACTTCACCAAATGTAGAAAAATGACTTGAGTATGAATACTTCATCAAGCCACTGAATCATACGAGACCCAGACCCTGACGTACATGTAGGAAATGACCATGGACCAGAGTTTACACATGGTAAGACCAGACGTACATGTAGGAAATGACCATGGACCAGAGTTTACACATGGTAAGACCAGACGTACATGTAGGAAATGACCATGGACCAGAGTTTACACATGGTAAGACCAGACGTACATGTAGGAGATGATCATGGACCAGAGTTTACACATGGTAAGAGCAGACGTACATGTAGGAAATGATAATGGACCAGAGTTTACACATGGTAAGACCAGACGTACATGTAGGAAATGATCATGGACCAGAGTTTACACATGGTAAGAGCAGACGTACATGTAGGAGATGATCATGGACCAGAGTTTACACATGGTAAGAGCAGACGTACATGTAGGAAATGATAATGGACCAGAGTTTACACATGGTAAGACCAGACGTACATGTAGGAAATGATCATGGACCAGAGTTTACACTTGGTAAGAGCAGACGTACATGTAGGAGATGATCATGGACCAGAGTAAATCCAGGCAGTGTCCAAACTATAAATCCTGTTTGTTCTGGACATACCCACAGCAGTTGGCACATTTCGCGGCTCACTTCAGCTGAAAAATGGCCACATCCTGATGGTCCAGAGGTGCCACATATTTTTAGCCCTGATGTCCGGCGTCCCGCTGCAGGACACGTGGATGGATGAGGCGTCCGCTGCGGCTGCGTCACAGAAATAACTTTGCTGACCAGTCTGACCTCTGCCTCTCACCAGCGTCCTGCACAGAGCTCTATTTGCAGCTTCAGATTCCCGCCGAGGTGACAGTGACGAGACAGTCCCACAAAACTGATGCCGCTTGCTCTTTTTGCTTTTCCCCTCACACTTCCCTGACGCCAACACACACTGGGCCCGGGGTCAAGGGTCAGCGAGGGCAGTGTCATGACATACTTTCACAGAACCTTGGTTAAACTCTGGAATTGTATGTTGTTAATTCTTATGTATTTTTCTGCCTTTAGGAACGACAGATGAAAACGATCTTTGAAGCTATAACCAGCAAATTTATATTTGTTTTATTCTGATGTTCATTAATGTGCATTGTGCCTTTAAAAATTAATACATTACAACAACAAAAAACACTGCATGTTGAGAGTATATGTGTTTGATGATTTACTGGAAATTCAATTTGTTTTTGTATCGCCCTAAATCACAACAGGAGATCTCTCAGAGGAATTGCCAAGCCTTCAACACCCAGGACCCAGGACTTAGGACCCAGGACTTAGGACCCAGGACTTAGGACCCAGGACTTAGGACCCAGGACTTAGGACCCAGGACTTAGGACCCAGGACTTAGGACCCAGGACTTAGGACCCAGGACTTAGGACCCAGGACCCAGGACTCAGGACCCAGGACTCAGGACCCAGGACTCAGGACCCAAGACCCAGGACTCAAGACCCAGGACTCAAGACCCAGGACTCAAGACCCAGGACTCAAGACCCAGGACTCAAGACCCAGGACTCAAGACCCAGGACTCAAGACCCAGGACTCAAGACCCAGGACTCAAGACCCAGGACTCAAGACCCAGGACTCAAGACCCAGGACTCAAGACCCAGGACTCAAGACCCAGGACTCAAGACCCAGGACTCAAGACCCAGGACTCAAGAACCCAGGACTCAAGACCCAGGACTCAGGACCCAGGACTCAGGACCCAGGACTCAGGACCCAGGACTCAGGACCCAGGACTCAAGACCCAGGACTCAAGACCCAGGACTCAAGACCCAGGACTCAAGACCCAGGACTCAAGACCCAGGACTCAAGACCCAGGACTCAAGACCCAGGCCCTATAGACATGCAACTCAACCCCAGAAAGAAAAACCCTGGGACCTTTTCCCTGGAGGCATGAGCCCAAACCACTCTGGGTCCACCACAACCACCACTACCACTATCACCGATACTCAAGAAGTTCATTCAGATCCACACAAACTTAAACCAAATGAAACCCAGGTGTAATAATATCCAGTGAGATGAGATTCTGGAAAAGCCGGAGTGGA